GAGATTTCAGCTAAACCTGCAAACTCCAGTAAGAGTTTTCCAATCAAATAAATGGACTGATTGAGAGGGTATTTCTCTGTCACAAGGAACATTATAAACATAAAAAATAAAATACACAGAGGGTCAAAAAATAGTAAACAGTATAGTACCCAGAAGGTATGGAAGGAATGGAGTCAGATAGAGATTGCCTGGTTGTGAAGGATTATACTAACATGAACTTTGAAATTAGCCAGGTATTTTTAAGCAGGGATATAACTTGATTATCTTATCTGTGTTTTAGGAAATGAATTCTATGGACATGAAAGATGAATTAGAATATGGCAATACTAGCAGCAAGGAGGACAATTGGGTAGTCTCAACTAGTAGTCTACTAGTGTAGACAAAATAAAAGTGGCAGTGAATAGAAAAAAATGAGAAAAAGATAAATGTTTCAGAATCATATTTTATATAGTATTTCAGGTTCCTCAGTATACAAAGGTATTTCTGGATAAACCTAAGATTATAAACTGTGTAAGCTTAAAAAATCATATTTAACTTGCTTATTTTGTAAATTTTATCACAAATTAAGGAATGCTTTAATAAATCCATTGCTAGGTATATAATCCCTCCAATATCAAAAGTTCAGTTTTACTTAATTCTGGATCTTGTAGTGGGACTACTTAGAAAACCTATAACAGAACAATACAAAACCATGGTCACTACTTCTATGTTTATGGATGAAATGATAAGATGTCAAAAGTATACTTTAAAATAGATCAAGGTGAAACAAGACTGACAAAAACATGAACTGATAAGCTTGGGTATGTACATAAAAGATACTTCTCTCTCTACATTTGTGTTTCAAATTTTCCTCAATAAACTCTTTCTGGTATCAAACCGTTTTCATTTCTGACTGAGTTTATTTGAACGCTTTCTCTTTTAATCCTCATAGTAGTTTATTGAATTTGTTTTCACTTTCAAAGAACCAACTTGTTTCACTGATCTTCTGCATTGTGAGTTTTTTTGTGTTGTTCATTTCAATTTCATTTAGCTCTGCTCTCATCTTTTATTATTTCTTTTTTCTACTAGTTTTGAGTTTGTTTTTCTTTTCTTTTCTTTTTTAGTTTAACATAGTATGGGAAGTCCTAGCCAGAGCAATCATTCAAGAGAAAGAAATAAACAGCATCCATATAGGAAAAGGGGAGGTGAAACTATCCCTATTTGCCAATCATCTGATCTTTGTCTAAAAAATCCTAAAGACTTCTCTGAAAGGTTCCTAGAATTGATAGTCTTATATTATAAAGTTAATGTACACAAATTAGTAGCAGCATTTCAATACACTATTAACAGTCAAATTGAGAGTCAAATCAAGAAGAACTCCATACCATTTATAATAGGTGCAAAGAAAATAAAATACCTGGAAAGATACTTAACCAATAAAGTGAAAGATCTCTACAGGGAGACTACGAAACACTGATGAAAGAAACTATAGATGACACAAATGGAAACATGTCCCATGTTCATGAACTAGAAGAATCAATATTGTTAAAATGTCTACACTGCCCAGAGGGATTTACAAATTCAATGCTACCGCCATCAAAATATCAGTATCATTTTTCACAGAACTACAAAGAACAATCCTAAATTTCATATGGAATCAAAATGAGCCCAAATAGCCAAAGAAATCCTAAGCAAAAAGAACAAATCTGGAGGCATCACATTACCTGATTTCAAATTATGCTGTAAGACTACAGTAACCAAACATCATGGTACAGGTTAAAGGTAGACATATAGATCAATGAAACAGAATAGAGAACCCAGAAATAAAAAACCATATAGCTACAACTAATTTTTGACAAAGCAGACAAAAAGATTCACCCAGGAAAGGATACCCTACCCACAAATTGTACTAGGAAAATTAGATAGCCATATGCAGAAGAATGAAACTGGATCCCTATCTCTCACCAATTTTAAAGACTTAAATAGAAGACCTCAAACCATAAGAATTCTAGAAAAAATATAGCAAAAATTCTTCTGGACATTGGTCTGGGCAAAGAGTTTATGACTAAAGCAAATATGACAATCAAATAAATAAATGGGACTTAATTAAGCTAAAGTTTCTGCATAGCAAAGGAAATAAGCAACAGAGTAAACAGACAACCTACAGAATGAGAGAAAACATTCACAAACTGTACAATTGACAAAGGACTATCCAGAATCTACAAAGAATTTAAACTAATCAAGAAAAAAAAACATCAGAAAGTAGACAAAAGACGAGGATTTTTTCACAAGATAAACAAATGTCCAATAA